TGTAAAAATGTTACTTATGGAAATAACTTTCAGCTGTTTTTGTCCCAAAATGGTAAAAAACAAAAAGTTTTAAATTGTTATTTATTTTCATTAGACCTCAAAAAGGTTTTGTTTTATGMAAGACCAAAATAACAATCTTTCGTGTATTGTTGAATATATGATAAATGATCTGAACTTCTATAGGGCTTTATCAAGCCTAGTYGGACCCCAAAGTGCCTTACACTTAGTCATTCAACCATTGACACACACACACATTCACACACGTAGCAGCTGCCCTGGTGCACCATTGCAGCGGCAACTCTCCGGTCAAAGTATATGTGATTTTTTAATACGCTTCATGCACTGGATAACTTTTAAATATTAGTTTGCCTAAACTTTTTTGCCTAAGAAATTTTGAAAGGAACCTTTTTACTGTTTTAGGACTGTTTTTAATTTGTTTTTTATGGGTATGGGTTTTATGATAGTACCTACTGTGTCTTTGCTTGTCTTGTTGTTTTTTTTTAACCTATTTTGAATGTACGTTTTTTAACATGGAGCCTGTTAAAGACGATTTTCTGTCACCTTTGGGACAGACAATAAAGTCTGTCTGTCTGTCTGTATGTCTATCTATCTTTCTATCTATCTATCGTACAATAGTTGGTTTTAATACTTTCCTCTCTAAGTGAGACAGTTCAACATTACACATTCAGTTCCARGTGTGAAAATGTAGAAAAAAATAGTGTTGAATGAAACACAGGGCAGTGATCAATTTGAACTACAGATAAGCATCAAGCTGGGCTCTGACATTAGCTAACAGTTGTTGTTAAGAATTATTTAAGCAGCACTTTCTAGCTTACCTTTTAATGCTCAAACCAAAATAATAGGTGTCTGAACTTTGTACTAGTAACAGTTTTAATTTGATTCATGTGTGACTTTTTTTTTGCAGAGTGAAGTTGTGTTTTTTTATTAGTCTTGGGGAAAGTTTCCCTAAATGTCTGTTCCTTTTCAGTCTGATAGACATGTTTTAGCTGTAATTGGATCAGTTCYACTCCTAAATCCACTCATAGCATTTTTATAACTCACCCCTTCTTACCTGCTGATTGTCTCCCTCCTTTTTCTTTTGTAAATGTTAGGACAGTCTTTTACATCCTGAAAGTCACATGCCTTGTTCAAGTTTGGAAAAAAAGTCCTCTTTCTTTGGTCTTGTAGCAACTAATCCCAAACTTAAGCAAGGTTTGGAMATGTGCGTCTCCTCTCTTTTAGTCCCAAGCCTCATCCCAAGCAACGTGCTCATGATCTGAAACAGTCAGAGTTACATACTGTATTGTTCAACTGGTTTTATGCTGTAAAGCCYAACATTTATATTTCATAATATGTCAAAAAGGAATAAAAAAATCTTGTGATTTTCACTGTAGTACTTTGTGGCATACACATAGTGCATTGAGGCATTTCTATCCCATTGTTGCAAAGACATCTTGTTTCTCTTCAATCTCATTATTAGGTCTGTTCATGATGTGTTTTTTTATTTTAGTGTTGTAAAAGTTTCACAAGTTTTAGTCTTTATTTTTTTTACCTGAAAAGTATAATGTGTTTTAAGTTCGTTTATTTATTTATTTATTTATTTATTTATTTATTTATTTGCTATAACTAGATTTCAATGATTTATGTTGTCATTGGGTTTTAATAAAAATACACATATTTGTCTGTTTTCTAGAGGCATCCACTTATAACATTTAAACATACAGTATATTTTTGTATTTTCTTGTGGACCTGTAGAAAAAGAGACTGAAAACTGTGAACAACTTTCTAATTAAACAGCAATGAACTTGAAATTTGCAAACCATACTTTACGGACTGCATAGTTTCAGTTTTAAAGAGTATCAATGGTAAATTATTCATGTTTGCATGCTAATGCGGCTTAAATTTCTACACCTTCATAATCTATGTATTTGCTCTGGAGTCAGAGTTACTGGATGGTTTGGTTGGTATAACCTTTTTTTTTATTTTCCAGTAAGATGCTGAATGACTTTGTCCTCACAGCCGAGTTGAACAACATAAAAATTATGTTTTAGAACATTTTGCTGTCTGCCAGCTAAGCCATCTGAAGTGAAAGTGTGCCATGAATTTTGTTTGATTATTAAATAAGTCTGAAAAATGCTGCTGAAACAATGGTGTCATCAAAAAAAAAAAGCTGTTCCATTTTTGAAGTAAAGCCACGCTAACATCTGTGCTGGTAGATAGTCATGGATGCCAATAATATTCATGCAGCACATTCATATCTTCAGTGCATATTGTTCTGAAACAAGAACATGAAAAGCTGATGAAGCTGCTGTCACTGGAAAAGTCCTTCTTGGTTTGCCACGTTGACATTGCTGCCAACTATTTCCTTCCTCTATTGTTTATGAAGACTCGTCTCCAGTTTAATCAAACACTTCCTCTTGTTTGGGATTTTTTTTTTCATTTTTTATGTGTGTGTGTGTGTGTGTGTGTGTGTGCGTGCGTGCGTGCGTGCGTGTGTGTGTGTGTGTGTGTGTGTGTGTGTGTGTGTGTGTGTGTCACAGAGCACTGTTGGCATTTTTTTTATCCCCTAAATTACATATATCCCTCTGAGGCAATGGGATGTACGGCTGCTTTAGTGGATTTTGTCTCTAGTTTTTGTGAAGCACAAGCCACAAACATTTGTAAACAAGCTTCAGAACATGTCCTTTAAATACRGTTAATGCCTCATTGAAAACACACTTAGCACAAATGCACTATTGACATTGTAAGGTCAGCATGTTTATCAAAGTGTGTAGTGTAGGCATTAMATTTCCTACTGTAATACACACATTACCCATCATCCTTAAGCTCACACAAGTTTAAGTGGAAGTCAGGTTCGTTGCTGATTTTTTATTACGGAGCATCCCAAACAAAGCTGTTCCAAAGTCATTTTTTCTATACAATTACGTTCAGCTTAAATGTAAGAACTGGAAAGCGTGTCCAGGAAAATAAAATGTAAATAAAGCTAAATGTTTAGTATGTCCAGAAGCAATCCTTATTGTCCAGCCTAAGATGTTGAGAAATGACAGAGTTGTAATCATTTTGGTCAAACCTTGTAAATAGTGTTCTGCACTGTCACAAGAAGTCATGCCCAGAATTTGTGTTGTGAATGACTCAGCTATTACCACAACAGTTTGTAGCTCAGTATCTGTACAATTGACTGAGTTAGAGCCATTTACTGTGTGACAGCTAAAGTTGATGGGATGTGCTATTTTGAATTGGGTTGACTCCAAAAGTGAATGAGTTGTAGACGTRCATCCCTTACTTTCRTGTTGTTTCATCAAAACCTACCCAATGGCTCATGAGATGTTTTGCTAACAGACAGACACACAGACATGAACAAAAACACTCTTTCCCACCTTGTGCCTTATGGCAGTGATCAGTAAATAGGGCTCATTTGGGTACTGCCAGCGCAAGCCTTCATCCAGAGGCATRCACTTTTATGTGCATTTTTATTTAAAATATTTTTCCCCATCTGGTCACATCATCTCATTACCTATTTATTTTAATCAGAGAAAGTCATTATTTTCATTTTACATCTAAATGTTTCTCGGCAGCATAATATTCAATCACAACTGGTGCCAACTGTTGTTAACAAAAATTAGTTTTAAGTTGTCACACAGTTACTCATAAATTTTGAGCAACCTGCTGATCTAAAGCTGGAGTCTAAGAAATGAGAAAATCAGCTTCTCCAGTCCAGCATTTATTTGACACAATGAACTAAAACCATCAAGCATCGTAAAATACGAATCACTAGAAATGCAGAAAAATATTTAAAGTAGATTTTGCACTTCGTATGGGAGTTAGTTATAGTCTGAGTCTGTTTGGAAAAATATATATATAAATTTACATTGAGGAGCAGGATTGTGAATGTCTTGGAAACTCATTTAGCTTCTCAGACTGTTTTTTTTTTTTTTTTGTCTGTTTTTGTAAAGCTGGTGTCGGGATCTTGCTACAATGCCATTCATTTAAAATAACAGGAAGACATTTTAAAAGCTGCTGAAGCTAAAGTGTTGTTTCATGTTTCAATACTGAAAAAAATAAAAAAAGGTGAAATTAGGTATTTTATTAAAAAAACACTGTAATAAGA